CTTCCAAGAGAAGTGGTGCTGGCTCCTACCCTGGGGGTCTTTAAGAGGAGGCTAGATGTACACTTTGCTGGGGTCGTTTGACCCCAGTACTCTTTCCTGCCATGGCAGGGGGTTGGACTAGATGATCTGCTCAGGTCCCTTCTGACCCTAGAAACTATGAAACTATGAGACGTATGTTTATGCTGCCTTTAACAAGCTGCAGTTGCAGCAGTATAGACATACCCAAGCTAGCTTGGCTACAGCCAGCAGCATAGCCATGGTGGCAAGAAGTTCAGCACAGTCGCCCTGAAAAGCTGGCTAAATACCTAAGTGGCTAGGCTGTGGCTGTGCCAAGCTCCAAGCTATCGTAGCTATGTTGCTAGCAGTACTTAAGCTAAGCAGTTCAAAGCCAGCTCAGGTCCCTGTACATAGCCTGCAGTCAATGTCTATGAGGATGTTTTGCACAAGATATGTAGAACACTTAGAATGAGAATTTTGTGCATTTGCAGCACAGTACATTTAGCATGCCTTTCATCCTAGCTGTTCAGTCACTGCTCTGTTGCTACTGCACAAAAAGGTCTGTCTTGGCCAAATGTGCTTTTTAATACCTTTCAGAAGAAAGGTGGGAAAAATAATGCAGGTCAGACTGCAGTGTAAACTTTGAAAGTCACTACTTTGACTTAGGAGATCAGCTGTCTGCCCGCTATTTGCATCCTCGCAAAGGTGCTTTTCCTTAACTCACATTAGCTTCTTGTTTTTCAGATTACTACTTTCAAAAAAAACTAAACTGAGCACACTGAATATGCACACAAGAGCAGGCATGCTAGCAGTGCTCTTGGGTTCACCACTGCAGGCATATTACCAGTGCTCTTGGGTTCATCTTGTTCACTGGTAACACACAGTAAGAGGAAACTTACAGAATCTGCTCAATGATCAAGCCAAGACTGCCAGGATTTCCCTTTAGAAAAGGTCTAAATATTGCATTAACACACTTTTAGTCTAGTAACTGGAAACAAGAATCTAGTAAGTAGAAGGAATGACTTTGAAAGATTTAACGTACCGTACCTGCAAGGAACTGCTCATATTCAATGACAGGGATGTTTTTGTTGAGGCTCGGAAGATCGAAAAACTCAGACCAAGGGATTCGGACCTGATGAATGTCAGGACTCTGCCAGTGATAAAGACGTCCCCAAGGAGGCAGGACCAGGACCCAAGCTTCTCTTTTCACCAAGGTCTTCAGAAGCGAAGCAACGCGAACGTAGACATCCCGGCGTAGATTGAACCCTTCGGGAGGATTCACGTCATACAGAAGATACCTGGAGAAAGCAAGGGGAAAAGAAAGACTTTAAGCATTTCCACGCCGTATCTTCCCCCTCACTTCTTTGGTCTCATTTTAAGTGGCCCTGAAGTTGTCTTCTGCGCTTCTTCATGGGCAGAGGTGGGAGAAGTGTGCGGCTGCACATAAATAACTGTAAGGCTTGACATCCCCCAACACACACCAACTGCAGATGCTTCCCCGGCCTGACAAAGGATATTTATACCCAAAAGCTTGCCAAGAGTTTGCCAACTATTGGTCTAACAAAAACCAGCAGATTCACCCAAAGAACCTGGTCCACCTGACATTCCCCCAAACAGGTTGAACCCCGTGGGGACCAAGTCGGAAGAGCAGAGGCTCACTTCACCACGGGGCGGGGGGGGCCGCCAGAGACATAAGGCGCCAGCCAGCGGCTGCCACATCACTGGTGTCAGTCAGCGGCCAAACAGGAGGATAATACTCTGGGGGCGAGCCCCGTCGTAGCCGAGGAGGGAGGCAGAGGTCAC